TATCTTTCTGTTCTGTTTAATTATCTGCTTTGCTTAGTGGTTTTTTCCTTTGTGTGTCTAAACTGTCTTTCAATATTTTTTGCAGGGTTGGTTTGGTGTTCATGAAGTTCTTTGGCTGTTCTTTGTCATGGAAGTATCGTATTTCCCCATCAATTTTGAATGATAGTTTTGCAGGATACATCAATCTAGGTTGGAAATCATTTTGCTTTAGGATCTGGAATACTTCACTCCATGCTCTTCTTGACTTTATTGTTTGTGCTGAGAAGTCTGCTGTGATTCTGATAGGTTTTCCTTTATAAGTGATCTGTCTTTTCTCTCCGACAGCTTTTAATAATCTATTCTTGTGTTGGATTTCTGGGATGGTGATTATTATATGTCTGGGTGTACTTTATTTTGGTTATAACTATTTGGAATTCTATATGCTTCACTGATCCTGATGTCATTTTCTGATCTCATGCTTGGGAAATTTTCAGCTATTACTTCTCTAAATATCCTCTTGACATCCTTTATGTTGTCTCCTTCTTCTTCATTAATCCCTATCATTCTTATGTTATTTTTCTTTGCATCGTCTTGCAGTTGTTGAATTGTTTCCTGATTCCTTGTTATTTTCAAAAGATCTTTCCTTTCCTGTTCACTAGCTGCAATCCTGTCTTCAAGGTCTGAAATTCTATCTTCGCTTTCATTAAGGCGGTTTTTACAACTTTCAGTGGAGTTTTTTATTTCCTGTATATCTCTGTGCATCTGCATTCTGTATTCTGTTTGTTTCTTATATTGCTCGTCTAGGGATTCTATCTTTTTTTTTAGTTCCTCCAATTTTTTATCTGTGTTTTCTTTAGATATATTTAGAATCTCTTTCACTTCTTTTATCATTTCTTCTTTTATCTGGGAGATTATTTCGAGTTTGAATTTCTTTAAAGCTTCCTGGAGTTGCTTGTCAATTTCAGTAGCTATTGTGTCTGATATATGAGGTGGATGGGATATATTGTCTTCTATATACATCACTCCTAGGGTTTCTTGAGATGGGCTGGAGGTTTGAGGTTGTAATTTGGTCTTTCGTTTTGTCATTTTCCTATATTTCTGTGTTTCAAGTGTTATTTGAAAGCTTCCTCAAGGTCTGTTGGCAATCCCCTTCTATGCTCACAGCTCCTGAGACTCTGGCACCCTGTTACCCCAAGCCACTGGGCCTGTAGAACCAATGGCCCTCTACTGCCTGTATAGAACTCAATGGTTCCAGATAAGCTGGGCTTCTGGGACACTGCGCGCCCACCTATTTGTTGGAAGCGCCACAGTTCTCCAAGCGCAGCTGGGATGGGGAGGCGGATGTAGATGCCTCAAACCCACTTATCAACTTCACTGCACCCGGAAGCCTGGAGGGTCCCGAACAGTCTGGGCTTTGGGCAGAGTGCACTGAGCACTTACCCCAGGCCACGGGGCTTCTGGAACCTGTGATGCTCCCCTGCTTGCTGAGATATCCACAGTCCTCCAGACACATGGGGAATCGGATGCAAGCCTGTATGGTACATCTTATTTGGTAAATTACAGTATGGTAATTTTTGTTGATTGTACTGTACAGTACAGTAGTGTATCTTTACACTACAGTTCTAGATGTCAAAGTTATGCAAATAAAAAGCAAGTTCTTCAAGTTGCAGTTTTTTAAACCATTAATTTTTTTGAATATTGAAATACACATATTGTATATAATTACTCATTTAGCAACCAGCTCAATTAATGACCTTGCTTGTTAAATGAGGAAAGTCTACTAGATTTTCCTTAATTGTTTTTGCCATGAATTATTTTTATTGTAGTGTTTGGTTAATACTATTGTTCTTTCTATAGTGAAGTAGTCAGAGAATCCACTTGATTATGAAAGCACAAATTTAGTTAAAAGTATAGATGCTAATGTAGGGACATTTAAAAGGGAATGTAGACAGGAATGACATAGGACATGACCTGAGGCTATTGGTGGTGTATTTACAAGTTTATTGTACACTATATACTTTAGGAAGTTAACTCCAATGAAATTATTGTTATCTATCCATTTTGTGTCCTTTAACCCTGATCTTTTCTCAAGCCAGAAAGGCTAAAACCCTGATTAAATTAGATTACACAATCAGTGAAAGTTATTTTTAGAAATACCCCCATAAGTGTGACTATAGTGGTCCTCTAAACTTTGAGAAATTTGCTTCCTGTTATTTGGAGCTGTTCCTTGCATTCACAATCTTATAAATAAACTCTTGCCTCACATTACTTTCTTTGGCTTCCACTTTCTGCAGAGAGTGGGTGTAGGGGGACCTGAGTTTCACATTCTCTGGTCAGAGCCCTTGGTTCTGAGCCAGCCTCCCTCTTACTTCCCTATTCTTCATCAGAGAGGAGGTGAGGGCCTAGATACCTTCGGAGGGTGGGAGGACAGGAGGTCCTTGAAGAGTTCTGGCCCCTCAAAGACCACTAGCCTCTTTTTTTGCTTTACTTTTCCGAAGTACAGTCTTGTTCTGTAGTTCAGTCTGCAATTTAACTCACTATATAGCTCAGGCTGGCCTCAAACTCTAGGCAATTTTTCTGCCTTGGCCTCCCAACTGCTGAGATTACAGGCATGCACCACTATACTTGGAACCTCTTTTAGTTTAGAAAAAAGAAAACTTTACAAGCCACTCCACAATAACAACAGGATAATATTTACAGGTTTCAAGTGCACATAGAACAATATTTTCCTTTTATTATTGCATACTTTGATCCATTTCACCCTCTTTTACACCCATCATTCATCCCCTTTCTCTTCTCCAATGGAATGCTTAGGATATTTTCCAAGACAGATGTATGATCTGAGCCACAAAATAAATTTAAATGAAATTAAGGGGATTAAAATTATAGAAAGTATTTTCCACACCAACAAGGAATATGTTTTAAAACTGACAATTTAGATATCACTAAATATTTTACAGACTTTAAAAGGACAAGGGGGTAAGGGAAAATTACAAACATATTACGTCCAATAAGTTCCATAACTTTGATATGAACATATTTCCTGAAAAAAAAAACTAGCAAAGTTCACGTAAGAAACTCATAATGCTAAAAGCAATAGACCCATTAAATATCTCCCCACTAACTTGAAGCTCAGATGCTCTCACTAGTAAATTTTACCAAACATTTAAGGAAGAAATAATACCAGTTTTATATAAAATCTTACAGAATATCTAAAAGAAGGAAATATTTCCCGGCTCATCCTTTGAGGCTAACATTACTCACTTGTAAAAAATTAAGACAAATATTTGGTTGTGATGACACAAGCCTGTAATCTCAGCACTTAAAAGGCTGAGGTAGGAGGATTGCTCTGAGTTTGAGAACAGCCTGAGCTGTTCATAGTGAGCCAAATTCAGCATGAACTGCACAGTAAGATCCTAATTTTTAAAAAAGACAGGTTTCAGAAAATTAAACTATAGGTCCACATCCCAGAAAAAATGATACAAAATTTTAACAAAATGAATCTAGCAATATAAAAAAGAATTCACACTGATCAAGTGAGAATTATCCTGAGAATACAAGGTAGATCAGCATTTGAAAATCAATCAGTGGAGTTCACCATGTTGTGGTGAATCATGGTTATTTCATCAGTGTTTCTTTAGAGCTAGTGTTACAGCATTAAGTTTCCACCTTGTAAACCACGCACAAAAACTATGCATACACTCCCAGGTGATCTAATTGCTTAAAAAATGTTAATACCATCTTTCCCCTATTTCATATAATGTCATATATGTATATGTGTGTGTTATGTGTGTGTGTGTGTGTGTGTATAAAATTTCTGATCCTCTTGACCACTGACTACTCAATCTTTATATATTTGTTAGTTTTACCCAGAAGGACTGCTTCTAGCAACTCCAAGGGCACAGGACCCTGTCAAACAAAAACATTATATCAGTCTTCAAACAATACCTGTTCTCCTTAAAACAGATGGATGAATAACAGGACTACTATGCCCCGATGTGTTCCGGAGATAGATGATGCTGAAAGATGTCCTCATCACATTAAAATCAAATACAAGAACCTCAACCTTTCATTCTTAGGGAACAGTCCTGTCTTGCTCTCTTATAGTGAATAAGTTCTTCTTTAGATTATTTGATTATTGATAAATTCTTTTTATTACCTGCAGTACCAGCGCTACATGCACAGAGCACTACGTGGCATTTCAACGAAATTATAAAAGAAACAAATAATTGTCTTGATACAGAAATAGCATTGGGAAAAATTAGATAATATGCATAATGAAAACTCATCAAATACAAAATAAAGGAAAATATCCATAATCCGATGAAGGGTATCTACAAAAAACCCACAACCAGTATCACACTTCCTGGTAAAAGACTGAAAGTTTTCTCCTTAAGAAAGCACAAGCACGGAAATCTGCTCTTACCACTCTTGCTGTGTTTTGGCCAGGGCAATAAGAAAACCAAACTGGAAAGGAAGAAATAAAACTGAGCCTATCACCAATCTGATTAAATAAACAACCCTATAGGATCTGCCAAGAGAGCTTGTATTAACAATAAATGACTTTAATTAGGATGTTAGATACAAGACCTGTCATCAAGTTGAAGAGAATCTGAAAAGAAGCACATTAAAAAAAAGTGCTTATTTAGCCACTACGGAAACTGATTTGACCCCGTCTTGCTGGCTAACGACTAAAGGCTGCACTCAGAAAGCAAGTGTCACGGGGCTTTGGAATTGCCTTCTTGATTTTGCGCGGCGCCAGCTGTTTGGCGAAAGCCTGGAGCGCACAGGCGCTCTGAAAGGTTCAACACAGCATAACACACTTGCGTCAGCACCCCCGTGGAGAGAAAGAAACCAAAGCTCCTTAGTAGGCGTTGCTGTGGTCACAACAAAGGCACTCGTTCCTGCCTACTTTGCAAGTCTTACACGTGTTTCCTGTCTTACCATCTGATGCTGCCACTGCTTAAATACAATTATTGTTAGGCGAGGCAAGCCTGACATTGTGGGAAAGATTCTGATCCAGAAGTTCCTGGGTTACAATTTACCATTTGAGGTCTACCCACGCACACAGCAGGTTCAGAGCGAGGGCAACCGCACAGGAGCCAATCAGCGACAAAGAGGAGGCCTATGAACTGTCCAACCTCAGTGCAGTAGTAGGCGGGTTCTTCCGGTGTCATGGCAACAAAGTGTGCGTCCTGAGGGCTCTGCTGAGAATCCTTTAATTTACTGGGTCGTCTTGTGTGACTTGTGGTGGCTGGACGATGCATGGGAAGGACTCCAGGAGACCCTAAAGCCTCGCTATGGTGATGCTGTGGGACAGAAGCCGGGGCTGGGTTGGAATCGGGATGAGGTCTGGAAGGAAATGACCAGAACCAGCTCAGGGGAACTACCAGCTCCCTGCTTAGCTCCAGAAGCCGAGGTTTCTCGAGTTTTGGTACTTTCTTACCTTTTTCCCTGTGCTGGATCAGGGTTATTTCTAGGTTTCCTGCATCCTGACCCAATGGTGACACTCCCCGCCCACAATGGTGTCTATGTAGCCCCAGGCACAGCATCAGCTACACCAAACAAGAGGAGAGGGGGGGGGAGGAGTTTGGGGAGACCCCAGTTCCGGTATGGGTTGGAGCTGGGTGCAGCTGTGATATGCTGGGTCCCTGACCTCATCCCTTTAGAGCGGCAGACCTGGAGGATCTGACGTTTATGAATGTCAGCGATGCAGAATCTCATACCCATAATGCATCTCAGACTTCTCTACCTTTTTATATTCAGATTGAATTACTAAATTTCCAATATCTCCCCATATTGCCAGAGTCATAATAGGTGTTGATGTGGGCTAAGAGAATCCAAAGAAAGGTTTAATATTGCGGGCGATGTGACTCGGACAGAGTTTTTGCCAAGCTTGCGGTGAAATCCTATGTTCCATACTCAGCAGCTCCCCAAATTATCACCTTATTTATTTATATCTCTACTCACAGTGATAAAGAACAAGGCTCATGGTCTCCAGCGTTGTGAAATGAAGTTATAAACAAAAGAGAGGATGTTAGAAGAGGTTTTATTAGGAATGAGAATAGCTCACTGATCCGTTGGAAGCATCCTGAGTGTGTGGCCATGTGGCTGCTCAATTCAGCGCTAAGTAGAGTAATCAGAGCATATTAATTGCCCAGTAATGGTCCTGTGACAGGTGACTGTGTCTTTAAAATGACTATTTGGGATTTAGGCTCTTAAGCACTAGTGTTATGTAGTACAATACTTGCTTGTGATGGTGGACAGCAGTAATGGGTCATTGCTCTGTAAGCAACTGGACACAAAGGGTGAATAGCCAATGATTTAAAATATATCATATTTTATAAACTTCATGAGATATTTAGTATTTCATTAGGAATTTTGTATTGTAAAACATGTTTCTCCAAACACGGATCAAGGCAAGTGTGTTTAGCACATTTAAAAGATCCAAGGCTTGACAATGATATATGATTGCTCAAGTATGTTCTGTGCACTTCCTTTTCTTTTTTCCTTCCTTCCTTCGTTTCTTCCTTCCTTCCTTCCTTCCTTCCTTCCTTCCTTCCTTCCTTCCTTCCTTCTTTCCTCCCTCCCTCCCTTCCTTCCTTCCGTCCTTCGTTCGTTCGTTCCTTCCTTCCTTCCTTCCTTCCTTCCTTCCTTCCTCAGGGTCTTGCTCTGTAGTTCTGGCTGGCCATGAGCTCTTGTGGCCCAGGCTAGCCTTGAACTCACAGCAGTCCTCTTGACTCAGCCTCCTGAGTGCTAGAATTATAGGCATGTGCCACCATGCCTGGCCTGCATTTTATTTTCAACATCCTTTTGGTTGATCATGATATTTTCCCTTTCAAACTCAAGTAACATCTGTAGACTCATTTAGAATTAGGGTTAGACCTAACTGAATGTGGTGTTAGGACTGGGAATCTGGATAGTCACGGGGACTGTGACCCAGAAAAGTATATTCTGTTTTCCATATTTTCTACCTTCTCTCTGCTTCCTGGCACCTTTTCTGCCATCCCTGTTCTACCTTATTCCCAACTAATCGTTGACTGAAACTGTGAGTGATAAAATCTTCTCTATGTGGTGGGCATGGGATATTTTGTCCCAGGAACAGGAAATTGAGTAAGGCACTCATCCGTGCTAAATCTAATACGTGTTTGCAACATAGGGTTTCAAACCCACAAATGTGTCCTCAGGCCTGATCTGTATTGTGATGACAGTAAATAGCTATATTTCTAACTACATTGCTGGCAGTGAGTTTCCGTGGTTCAGCAGTTATCAAGCTTGCTAAATTTCACTGTTAAATCCACAATGTTAAAAGAAATAAGAATAAAAGAAAGTTTCCATTACTATTTAGAATGTCAAAAATTTAAAGGCGAAATTACTGATTTATGAAGAAGAAAATGAAGTAATCTTGCAAATGACAACTTTCCCAAAGGGAGTGCATGTTATCCAGTAATTAATGCTCTATTTGAATTGGACCATCCTCTTGTAAATGTCACTTGGGTATGAGTGCAAAGATACATGGGTGCTGTCTCTCACATGGTCCATGCAGTCTTGGATCATTTGTAGAGATTTTTAAAATAATGAAATGCTGATTGATGTGGCTCTTCAGGATTTAAACACAGGTCTGCATGAATATGAATTATAGTATGTAAAAGGGTTTTTGGTGCAGGGAGGAGTAAAGAAGGAGTCGATAGAATGTGGAAAAGATTGAGTGTGGCAAAGTCACCTCTTGGTCTAGACAAGATTTACCTTTGAGATCAAAATATTTTAATGTGACACTAAACAAGGGGTCTTATTCTGGCTTGTTTAATGTGAGTCAAGTGTCAGAGACCTAAAAGAAGAAATCTTAGAAATATTGGATTAATAAGTTTTTTGTTATTAAGTCATCTAAACACTTGAATTTACAAAATTGTATCTGACCTTCTTGTGCATTAAAAAATTAGTGGAATATCATTGTCTGTCATTGGATGAGTAGTTTGATTTGAGTCCAGGACATTTGCTCTCAGCTATGTCCAATTTTAAAAATTAATGGTAGTGGTAATATTTTTGAGAGTTGGTCTTACTCTGTTGGTGAGGGTTTAACTTGTGATCTCCTTGCTTCAGCCCATGAGAGTGGTGTGATTACAGGTGTGGATCATCAAGCCCAGCTCTGGTGGGCGTCTTAAAATTACTTTTACTTGCCAGGATCACATACTTGGTTCAGTTAACAATCATGAACCATTTGTTCTTATATCCAGAACATTGTGCAGTAATATTTGCCAGTTGAGAATGTGTAATGGCCAGTCTGAAAGAAATCCTTGAATTCTTCTGACTGTAGTAAATGTCTCTAAATTTTAGATTAGTTGTGTAATACAGGGTTTTTTTTAAAATTGTGTTTTCCTTTGATTCTGAACCTGGGACCTTAAAACTACCATAATTTTTTGAACTTTAGAAATGCCTATCTCATTATTATAAACCTCTGTTAGTCAACTTATCTGGATTTATGTTACTGAAATGGGTCAGTGTGCCATCCTTTGATAACCTTCTGAATGACTCATGGTGAAACTCAGCATCACATGGTTTAGCCTGAAGTCTAGTTTTTAAACAGCACGCTAAGACTAGGATCTCAATTTGTCAGGATTGTGGTACTTCTGGATACAGTGAGTATTGAATTTGAGGTATACTAGTTCCTTTTAGAGAATTGTTAGGTGCTTAGCCAATAACACACTTGAGTTCAGAAGAAGAATTGGGAAAATTAGTAGGTCAGTCTTCACATGACTGTGAGTGAGTCTCGGTTCACAGGTAAGCCTTTGAAAATTAAAGCAGTTTTACCCGGGACGGTGTTCAAATAGATCATGTGGAAATCCTAGATTTAAATTTCTTGGCTGTCAGATCTTCCTCATGCACCATCTAGAAGTGAGACATCCTGGGCTGCTTAGTAAGAATGAGTGAGAGTGATCTGTAAAGGAATGTGTTTAATTTTCTGGAGATGTGTTACCTTTTGAACTACAGTGAAGCAGGCTTCTTCCCTGTTCCACATCCCTTTTGCTTCTTTGCAGCAAGTGTTGTGTAAAGGATAGACGGTACCTCAAAGATTTAACAATTTTTCATTGTGATTTAACCAAAAGAATTTGATAGCCTTGGTTGGAAATTAGAGTACTTCATCCAAAGAAGCAAAATATAAAACTTACTATTAAAATATTTGTTTTACATTTAACACAAATATGCATAACGATTCACAGACTCAATACAGGTGAATACAATAATTATGGTTTCTTTTAGTACATCTCTAATTTCACCTAACTCCACCCAACATAGATACAAGGTGTACTTTTTGGGTGTACTTTGTGACTTTATCATCGCATTACTAAGAAGAGTGTTGCTAGGGTAAAGTCTTTGAAATTCTGAATACTAATAGTTGAGGCTAAAGTAGTAGTATTATAGTCGAATGATTATTTGTGGTTTCTCTCATCTATTGTGCAGAAATTTTTAGGGAAGTTTATATTTCAGTTGTGTGGCTCACTTTTTCCACTGCTTTTGGGTTTCTAATAGTTTTGTAGTGTTGATGTTGTTAAATATATTATTTATTTTGTTCAAGTGATAGTGAGTTAGGATTTTTGACAGAATGAGAAAAATTGCCTGTGTGTGATTATGGAAAAATTAAAGATTTATAGAAAGTTTTGGAATATTAATTTGTCATCTTAATGTTTCATGTATAGGTGCTTCTTGTGTGTTGCCTATATTTGGAATGATCTAATTTGGTTTTTTTCCTTCTACGCTTAAACACCATTTTAAAATGATTTTATCATGTGTTAGGTGATTACATCTAGTACTGAGCATTTTTCATGTATGGACTTTTAATGTGAACTTGTTTCTGTGTCTGTGTGCTGTATACACTTTATCAATAATTTCTAATTCTGTTTATAATTGGCATATAGTATGACAGGTATCTGTATACTAAGCTAGGGATGTGTACTTTGCTATAATATCTTAACTAATTCTAGTGGTTTTGTTGGTTCTTTAATTTTGACAACATACACAGTGATGCTCTATGTATGTGAACATAATTTTAAGTGTTCCATTTTAATGTCAATGTTTTTGTTTTTCTGTCTTTGTGTTTTCTGTGCATCTACTGATTCAATCTTACATTTTCATTTGTAATGCAATGGATAACAGTGTATTCAATAGTCCATTTTTACATGCTTTTAATAATTCTCATTGTGTTTTGTAATCCTGAGTGAATGTTGAGCATGTAATTTGCAGTTATTTCTTGAATGATTTTCATTTTTATTTTGTTAATGTTTTGCTGGTGTATGAGATGGAATGTTTGAATATCAAATTGAACTTGTTCTTTTGTAGTTCATGCATTTTAAAAAAATTTTGTTTGGAAATCACCCTAAAATGATAATACATGGATTCAATTTTGTGCATTATAAAATCATTAATAATTTGAAGTTTTCTAAGGATTTTTCAGCTAGTGGTTTCTAATCTAAACATCTTAAATTCCATTATGTTTTAAGAGCTTACTTCTTACTATTTCTATTTTTTGTATATGTCACATTCTTTATTTTTGCTCTGTTGATTTGTCTTGGTCAGAATTTCTTGTGATTTTGAGAAGACTATTTCTTAGAAAGAACTCACACTGGAGGGAAACCTTATGTGTGTAAACAATGTGGGAAAGCTTTTACTACACAAAATTATTGTAAAGTACATGAAAGAACTCACACTGGACAGAAAACCTATGTATGTAAGCAATGTGGGAAAGCTTTTAGTACACAAAATTGTTGTAAAGTACATGAAAGAACTCACAGTGGAGAGAAACCCTATGTATGTAAGCAATGTGGGAAAGCTTTTAGTACTCAAAATTATTGTAAAGTACATGAAAAAACTCACACTGGGGAGAAACCCTATGTATGTAAGCAATGTGGGAAAGCTTTCAATAGGTCCAATCAATTAAAAGACATGAAAGAACACACACTGGGGAAAAACCCTACATATGTAAGCAGTGTGGGAAAGCTTTTAGTGTACAATATTATTGTAAAATTCATGAAAAAACTCACACTGGGGAGAAACCCTACATATGTAAGGACTGTGGGAGAGCTTTCAACAGGCATAATGAATGTAAAATACATGAAACAACTCACACTGGGGAGAAGCCCTATGTATGTAAGCAATGTGGGAAAGCTTTTAGTGCACAATATTATTGTCAAAGGCATGAAAGAACTCACTCTGGGGGGAAGCCCTATGTATGTAAGCAATGTGGGAAAGCTTTTAGTGTGTATATTTCCTGTCAAAGACATGAAAGAACTCACAGTGGGGAGAAACCTTACGTGTGTAAGCAATGTGGGAAAGCTTTTAGTGTAAAAAATTATTGTAGACTACATGAAAGAACTCATACTGGAGAGAAGCCTTATGTATGTAGGTAATGTGGGAAAGCTTTCAGTATGGGTGGTACTTGGCAAAGACATAAAAAAAACTCACACTGTTGAGAAGCCAGCCTTATATATGTAAGCACTGGGAGAAAGCTTTCAGTATAAAGTTTCTTCTAAAATGCATGAATGAACTTGTACTGGGGAGAAACCTGAAGCAATGTGGAAATGGTTTTTAGCAAAGCTTGTTATTGTAAAAGATGAAAGAAGTCACATCTGGCATTAATTCTATATATGGAAGCAGTGTGAGAAAGCTTTTAGCATGCCTAGACATGCAAAGACAGAAGAACTTACAGTGGCGAGGATACTTATATATGTTAGCAGTGTAGGGATTACATAGATCTGTTGTCAAAGAACTCTCACTGGAGAGAAACTTTATAAATGATTTAAAAAGTCTTGTGAAAGTTTCTCATGTAGTGGAAAATGCATTAATAATTAATATAAAAAGCTTCATGTCAATATTTTTCCATAAAATTTCCAGAAAATACAATCCCAGATAGAAGAATCCTAAAGTACATATGTTGTTTTTCAGTAAATCACTTATATCCCGGATTGTGTGTGTGCAGTATTTAATACAGAAATTTGAGTCGACATAACTAGGTATTTTTGTGTATATTTGAAGTGCCTTGTTTTAAGCATGATGAATTGAAATGTATTTTTTAGGTTCATGTAGTTAATGTTTACGAGTTAATGTTCACAAAGAGTAGTTTTTGCTTAGTCTTTACAATTGGGAAGTATGGGCCACTAAAAAACCTAACTTTGTTAATTGTGCTTTGTTAATTATTGAGATTTTGCCACTAGAGTAGTGTTAGATTTTTGATGTGTTTATTCTGTGTACCAGGAGATATTTTTAATTTGATGCCATATGTTATTTTCAGACTTGTGAACATGTTTTTTTTGACAAAATTGACTTGTTTCTGCATAACTTATAGACCAATATATTTTTTTGTCCATATGACAAGATACCTGCTTATGGTGTAGTATATTGTGTACATAATTTTGCATATTTAGTTTACATGAGGGCCAATATTATCATTTACATGAAACTTTGTTTCTCATCAAAACTATGCTTTTCTTGTTTAAAGTCCAGTGACTTAATCTGGCAGTAATTTTTCTTCCATATATACCAAATATAACTAAAACATATCTTCTGATTGAAGAGTAGCAGGACCATAATTTGTCTCCAAAAGGATATCATGAATTATAATCTCGCCAAAATTATAAATGATGGTCTGATTTATCAGCAACAACACTATTGAAAAAATTTTTGTCAACATTGAAGTTGTTTTGGGGAGAATAATGACTATTGGATGTATTGAGGCAAATGTCTTTTTTTTCCCCCAATGCTATGATGGCTTTCTATCTTTGGTATTCATATTTTTTGAGAAAGTGTTTCACTGTGTAGTTTAGACTGGCCTTGAACTCACTGTGTAGTTCATTGGCCTCAAACTCATGGCAGTCCTTCTGCCTCTGCTTCCCAAGTGCTGGGATTACAGGCTTACATCACCATGTCTGGCCATCATTTTTGTTTTTACTAAATATGCAGAAATAATACCATGAAGGAAAACCTAACTCATGAGATATCAGTTTTGTAAAAAGTTAAGATGTGTTTTGCCAATTTTATAGATACATTTATGCAATGCTATTTTTCATTATTCATAAGGAGCACTGTCTAATGTGTAAGATATGTGACAATTGCCTTCAAGCACATAGACTGGCTCAAGGTGTGTGTGTGTGTGTGTGTGTGTGTGTGTGTGTGTGTGAGAGAGAGTCCCAGGTGGTCTCATGTAACCTGTATTTTTAAGTATTTTAAGACTGAAATACTTTATAAAATGTCTTATACAATGTTCTCAAATACAAAAACTACTGTTTCTGATGAAGTTAAAAACTTACAGCATCATGAACACATAAGTGAACAATTCATTTTTAAATGCCTACAATGCAGTGAACATTATAGCTTTCCCTGTTTTTAATTATGATTAGACAAAAATTATTCACCAATTGTGGATTTTATATCTGATATAATTCATGAAGCAATACACTGCAGGATACGGTGTTAGTTTTTACACTCTGCAACATATGCCTAACTACAGCAAATTTCTGCTTACTATCAACAGAAAGATATGTAGTATGTATTACTATGCCTGGTTGTGATGGAATATTGAAACTACAAGGTGTTTTACCCTAAGCACATTTATTTTTCCATTATTGTACCATGAGAAAGAATCTTGCTGGGTCTTGTGATATGTTTGTTACCCCAGTTGCTTGAGAAGCAAAGATAAAAACAAAATTGAGATCATCCTATTCAATTTAGATCCTGTCTCAAAAATTGAAGTTCTGCAGATGTAGCTCAGTGATTTATGTTCCTAGGTTTACTCTGAAATATCAAAATTATTTCTATACAAACCATTACACATGAGTGTTTTTTTTCTCACTTAATGTATAAAGGCCTAAGCCAAATGCAATGCTGTATTCCTTTAGTCCCAACATCAGAAGAGGTGAAATAGGATGATCATGACTTTGAAACTGAGGTTGGGGGTTCGGGGGGGGGAGCAATTTGCAAACTGAAACAGTTCTCTTTCATGTCTGCATTTAAAGTTTAAAGAAAGAAATAAGTTTAGGTGAAGAACATAAACCTACGATGAGATACAATTTCACTATTACAAGTCATGGTTCTATTATTACTCTGAAAATAATATTTTCATGGTAATAGTTGTACAACAGCTATATATATGCTAAAAAATAAGCAATGAAACATGAATAAAACAGGTAGTCCTTGGTCTGAACATAAGAGAAACATGAAGAAATTAGTTTCCTTAATGTTTTTCTTAAGTTTTGGGTAGAAAATAAGGTGAGATGACACAACGAACAATTGTATAAAGTTGAAAAACTACATGAACATGGAAGCAAATGATAGAGTGAGGAAGTAACCTACAAAGTGGGAAAATGTTTTCTGTGTACCCTGCAGAATACTAATATCTGGAAAAAAACAGGAAAGTGAAATTAATATACACTTCTCAGAAGAAGTACAAATTGCCAATAAATATCTGAAAAGTGTTCATCACTTTTACCCAATAAAGAAATGCAAATTAGAACAGCATCTTTAATCTAGAAAGAGCACATATCACTAAGAACTCAAAAAAAAAAAAATAGCCATGAGGCTTCAGGGGGAAAAGGAACCATTCAGTATCATTGATGGGAATGTAAACTAAGAAGAAGTCAATGTGGAAGAATTTAAAAATAAAATAGTAATTCATTCCATGTAGTACTTCTCTGCTGTGTATCTTCCCCAAACAATTAAAGATAACATTTCACTGATACGTTCATATTCCTGTTTACCACAGGAATTGTCACTTTTTCTGATGAGTAGCAGCAATGAGCCCTGTTCTATCAGCCACCAGATGCCAATGGTAAATAAGTACTGTTAAGTGTACTCTAATAAATTATATGTGATATTTTATATTTTTTTTATGAAAGAAGCTCTGTATTAGATTATTTTTCCTGACTACAGGTCAATATAAGCATGATTAGCATGTAAGTGTAACAGGGGCAGCCATAATGTTCTTTAGATTTGGTATATTAAGTGCGTATTTGTTGTATTTTATTTCAACTTTGTTAGGTTGACTAAATGTTTATACTTTATATCTCAGGAAACATCTGTAACGACTTCAACTTTCTTGATGTACATAACACCAGTCTCACACTGTATTCTCTCCAGGGTTAAATGCTGTTAGTATACTGCAGTGGGACATATATGTATATATATGAGTTTCTTTTTCTGCTTTTCTCATGTTTTTGATGATTATTGTCCACTCAAATCAATGGGCATATGTCATGTCATTTATTTTCTTTAGGACATATACAGACACACAGATGTGTACTTTACCATGGTTTTATGGCACGTCTCTATCACGTTATGCTGATGACAAGATTTACAAGCCAAAAGAAAAACAATTTTAGTAAGTTAAAATTTTTTTAGTACTCACTTTGGCATCACATAAACATTTTATTAATATATGCTTGCAATATCTAATGTTCACAGCACATGTGAGCTCTTTCCTTCCCCTTCCCATCCTCTTTATCCACCTTCCATTTCTTCACCATTTCCTTTGTAAAATATCTATCTCACTTTCCAATTACTGATCTTTTTTATAAAATAAAAGTTAAACAATACTTCTGAAAGTCAATCATTTATAAATAGCAGCATTCTGAATATGTAGCTTTGTGAGGACTTCAGCATCCTCCATTTCTAATTTTCTAAATTTCATTTCTTGATTTTTATGATTCCAAGAAGCAGACTCCCAAATGATAGTTATGAGGTCACATTGTGACTCCGCAAGTAGAGATCCACAATGCTCTGCACAATGATGTGATGACCACAAGCATAGGAGTTCAGTGTATGAAAACTGAAGCACCAGATTCACCCACCAAAAACTAAGATGCAGGACTGCAGGAGCTAGGGGCACAATCTTTGCCCCTGTGTGTCCAGTAAGTAGTAGTATGTGCCACCAGCTAAGATAATTATAGTCCCTTTTCTCTACATGTTAATTCTGCCAGTTTAGCGGGGTTTAGTATTAAAAATTCCAGAAATAAAAATTGGCAAGGTTCAAACCATGGACCATCTCAGTAGCATGATTAAATATTATGCCAGTATGATCCATCATTTATCTTAATTTGTCATCACAGCTCTTGTGCAATGTCACATCTTGACAAGAAGGGTGAGTACAATTACACAGGCAACATTCAGGGAAAGAGAAATTCACATTGTACCAGTTGCATGTTTCATTATAACAATTATCAATATTAAATACTAGATGAATCTCTACATGTACATAACTTATCAATTAAATATTTTCACAGATATATACATAAAATGCTAGATGTGTTTGTATTTGTGGTCAGATGTGATTGTTGTCCACTGTTGGAAGCATACATGAGGACATGGAATCATAGACCCCTCAATTAAGGGGGCACTATTCTAATTTTTATTATAGTAGAAAGTACACAACTCCGACCCATCTGGTTTGTCAAAACAGAAAAAAAAAAAAAAAGACAAGACAGAAATTGTCTGGAAGAGACACATGATTGACTTCCATGTGATAAATAGCATGTATGTCTCCCAAGGACAAAACACTCATCCATTCTCATCTCTAAATAATAGATTCTTGAAAACATTCTGCTATTTGCCCTAGGAAAATACCCTTGTTTTGCATGGGTTGTGCCTAAACCTCAGAAGTAGCATCTGGAATACACATGAAGTTTTGAAAGAAAAATGCTGTTTTAGAATGTTTAGTATCTAGAAAAGACTGAGTGGGTCAGTGGTAATAGTGGTGAGACAGGTAGTTTCAAATGGCAAAGAGAACACAAACATCCCCAGGCAGACAGCACATGAATCACCCTTCATGACACCTGGGACTTTAAAAGAACTACTGAGACTGAGGGAAAAGGAGAGAGTTCATTTAATAAGTTTTTTCCAAGCTGGTTTGATTATACCTAAGTATTTATTTATTTACTTGTAAAGTATTTTTATTTGTCCATTTTTAAGTCCACAATAGGATGTCTAAGCATTTTCCTTTTCTACTTTGTTAGTTAACAAAATATAAATCAGTAACACAAAAAGTGCTGTTCAAAGATTTATATTCAGCTGGGCATGATGGTACGTACCTTTAATCCCAGCACTCAGGAGGCTGAGACAGGAAGACTTCCATGAGTTCAAGGCCAGCTTGGGCTGCATGGTAAGTTCAAAGCCAATCAGAACTACTCAGTGAGACCTTGTCTTGAAAATTTTTTGGTTCTACATTCTTATCTTACTTAATTTATAAATGTTGTGATGCAAATGATGAATGTGAGCAATTAATTTCCCTTGGTGCTTCCTGGGCAGCAATCTTCCCTGAAGGTACCCCCAGGTGGAGATAATACCAACAGAAAGAGTATGAACAGTGAAAACCTACTAAGTGGTGGGAAGGAAGAATCCACAGCCATTGAGTGCTTATTTTCTGTCTGAGGTTGTAATTCTTTTTTTCCTTTAGACATTCTACACTTTGTTTTATTTTGGCATGCATACATTTGCTGGAATTCATCTATAATTTGTGTACATAAAAATCCTTGAAGGTCAGGCTCAGAGATAGATTCCTTTACATAGTTTTTGGAGAAAGGAGTGATGTATTTTATACTTTCAATGAGACTCATAAAGTAACTCCTCTAGCAAAGATTAGGGTATAGGAGGTTGCATTTTCACACTTGGAAAGGGGCACAGCAGGCTAGGGTTACCTCCAAGGTTAATATTTTCAGCTATTTCTGCATCATCACTAGGGTCTTATTCACCATGGCATACCACTTCGGAAGTCAATCTTGCCCTCTGCATTGGAAAGATGTTTGTCTGAATGTGGATTTTTCTTGTGATTGAGGGTGAAGCACCTGGCTTTTCTTTACTCTTGTTTTGTAGTATACTGCCATGGAATAATTTGAGCATGTGTTTGTGCAATTGTTTTTGGTTACATTATCTTCTTGGTGATTATTGTTTTCTTACTCTTGTTTTGTCTCTTCCTAGGAGAGACTAATTCTATAAAAAGGCCAGTATATGTGAGCAGGAAGAAACTTATTCAAATACCGAAAATCTCATATTCATGTACTACAGTAATGCTGGAGAAGGACTCAACACATAATTTGGAGGAGTGTATTCAACTGAAGTCAAAGCTAGAGCTAAGTACAAGGTAGTTCATCAAGAGGGTTTCTGGTTGATGCTAAACAGATTGCACTCTATCAATTACTAATTAAAGACCATAGTTCTCCAATAGAGATAAAATTTTATTAAATACCAAGAATGGAATTGAGAGAGTACTATAATTGTACTATAACAATACTAAATGACTGTATCAATGTAGTAACAGTGGGAATTAAAATAATTAAAAGTAATCAAAATGAGGAATAGCATTAAAAATTCAAAGCATGACACTGAAAATGCCAAACAAAACCTACAATAGGAATGCCTATTATCAAGTGGAGTCCTAGTGAAACATACAATGTAACAGTTTTGGTCCTGATGAAATTGTATCTTGGGCATTTTTATTTTCTTATGTTACAAAACATAAGCCTACCTACGAATTGTAGTAACAATCACAGCCAAATTTACCGAAAGCTTTAATGGCTCAGCACTGCACTTTCCCAAAAACATTTTGTTTAAGCAAATTTAATTTAGGTATAAGAATAGTTGCATACATTTATTTCTCCAGGTCAGATTCTCCTGTGACACAAGCTGTTAACCAAATGATACTGGAAGAAGCATTATATAGGACTGTCAGCAGCTCATTTGCATATTTAGTTACATAATCTCTGAGGCAATTTGTATGAGATAAAGGCTGATGGGACTTTGTGCTTCTCAACCTATAGCACCCCATAAGAGACCTCATCCTATCATTTTAGCCATCTGACCCTCATGTTTATATTATGAAATGATTATCACATTCTTCATAGCTAGCATTTGCATTGTTGTGGCACAATTATAATGTAAGAACACCTTTATAAAATAGCAAGCTTATAGGTATTCATGATCAGCTACACGTCTCTGGCCAGTTTCTGTTCTGCAGTTTCTGCTGAATTCAACTGTCCTTGACATTGTCAAAAGCCCAATTACATGCCTCTGATGAGCACAGAGTCAGAGTGATTGTCTATACCATAAGGCACCCTAATTCAGGACACTTAAGTATGTTCACTCTATAAGATCTCCCTACCTGAAACATTTCTATATTTTGGTAATGCCTTTAATTGTGCTCACTCCCTGGAACATTTCTATATTATAAAATGTTTCTTATGATAATGCCTTCAACTGTGCTCACTCTATAAGGGCCCGCTCCCTGGAACTTTCTTTATTGGTAATGCCTTTTATCATGCTCACTCTGTAAAGGTCTCCTCCTCTTTTCCTGGAGTGTTTCTATATTATGATAAACAATCCTTTTGTTTCAACAATCTGTTTAAGACTAGTCTGCCTGTTAATGTATGACTTAATGCATGTAACCAATTATGTAGCTTTTGTCACTTGCTTTGTATTTCTCACTTCTAAATGCTGTATAAACTACACCCTTTCTAAAAGAGTCCCCCAGCATAAAGATTAAATGCTGCCTTCTTATCTCCTCAGTGAAAAGAGTCTTCCTTTCAGTTTGGTTTTGCTTGGAAATTTTCCTGTAACAGCATCACCCACCACAATTGCCTTTAGGGTATATGGAGAAAACACTAAAAACTTTTAGCCAATTGTGATGCTATGTTGCACTACATTAACTACTGTAGTCACTATTAGATCTATGCCATTTTTTTGTACTCTACAAGAGACAAACTGTGCTTTTTCAACATCTTAACTTCCCCATGCCCATACATGCATCCCTATCCTCTACTTCTTTAAAGTTGTAAATATTAGAGGCTGAAAAAAATATGATCAATCTTTATTCCTGGTATATTTCTCTTAATAACTTCTTGGATAAATTACATTGTCACAAATGAAGGATTTCTTTTAGGTCTCAATAAAATTTCATTTTATGAACAAACTTCACTTTACCTATTCAGCTAAAATCTTGACGTGCATTTAAAATTTCTCATTTAAGGCCATGTACTTGAGACTTGGATGCAAAGTTGTTGTTTTGAGTTTAACATTATTGCTGATAAGATTATATCCAAAATATGAGAAGTATAAAACAAAAGAGGCCTTTATTCTGAGAACACAGAGAGAGAAAACCAAAACCCCCACCTGCTGGAGTCTGGCTTTTTCTGTGGCAGACATGTGGCATCAGGGGTATGTAAGTGGCTTCGGTTTGGGGTGGAACCTAAAGGGGGCATCAGGGATGCACGGGTGGCCCATTGGTCTTTGCTTGGCACCATAGGTAAATTCCTAGGGGGCAGGAAAGATGGCATCACAGGTAAATTCTTAGGGGTGGGGGAAATAGGAGCTCCTTGGTTCTGCCTCTAAGGCTTCATCAGCTACAGTGTCCTGTCTGGGCCAAAACCCTTTCATATCTCATCTTATGATTATTATTATGAAAAGGGGTGAAGATTTCTCTCTTTAACTACTTCCTGCTGGCAAGGAGCATACTGGAGTCTAGGGGAGTCGATGGGATGACAGTTGATGCCCAGGTAGACACTGGTGCCAGGTGTTTTAGCCAGGACAACTTCACTGGTGAATGCACCTATGTTAGACTGGAAAAACAAAGAGACAAGATGTTATGAGGAGACATGGAACTGTCATATTTAAGGACCAGGTGAGGTAAAGGGAAAGGTGCCTTTGATTTAGACATGTCATTATATCAGGATTATTTTGAGGTAGAAACATTTGCATGGTAAGGCAGAATTCTGAAAAATAAGTGTGGGGTTAGGAGGAGTGAAGTTAATGAGAGGGGATTACTCCCCCATCTGAAAGCATAAAAGTTAAGAGGGTAGGTGTATAAAACTTGTCTCTGGTCCAGGAGTTGAACTGGAAAAAATAGGGGGAGCAGGGAAGGCGGTGGCTGTACCAGTATAGGGAAGGTCAGGGCTTAGGCTTTTAGGGATGTCACATTTAACCAGACAGCTGAGGGTAGAAAGAACTGTGACAGTTATTGCATAGAACATTATGAAGATTATCTTATGCATGATATGGGAGTCCTTAGGAAAGACTGTCAAGAGTCCTGCTGTAAAAATGATCATTAATAGAATGTAAGAAATTAGGAACCAAAGTGGATAACAAAACATGACTTAGCCTGTTAACTGTGGCTGCGAGGCCTTTGTGAAATGGAGATGGGTGGGCGACAGACGATGAGATGACCACTCAGAATGATCAGATTTAGGGCTGGGAGGGCACCTCTTAGCCTGAGTGATGTGAAACCAGGATTGGAGTCTAGCAACTTTGACCGCTGTAGGGGTAGCCAAATAGACCAGATAGGGGCCACTCCGCCTTGGTTATAGTCCTGTGGGTTTAGAACATTTGAGGTAAATTAGATCTCCTGGGGATATGGGAGGATCTGGTTTGGCTTCTCCAGAAGGTTGTGGAAAGCAGAGATCAGCATGTTGTCTCAACAAGTGTCTGAGGAAGGAGAGGACTGGGACATAGTCAGCAAGGGGAGGGAGATTTTGGGGAGTAGGAAGATTGTGGAGTAAGAATGGCCTGCCATACGTAAGTTTAAAAGGACTTAAGAAAGTAGGAGCCCGGGGAAGTGCCCTGAGCTTGGCTAAGGCTAAGGGCAAAAGTTGAGGCCAAGGTTGGTGTAGTTCTAAAGTGAGTTTTATAAGGTGTATCTTTATGAGACCATTTGCCTTTTCTACTTTCCCTGAGGATTGTGGATGGTATGGGATGTGTAGGTGCCAGGTGGTGTGTAAGCTTGAGGATACCTGTTGAGTAATCTGAGAAATAAAGGCGAGACCATTATCTGACTGAATACTCTGAGGTAGACCAAACCTTGGAATGATTTCTTGTAATATGACTTTGGTAACTACATTAGCAGTTTCCCTGGTTGTGGGAAAGGCTTCTATCCATCCTGAAAATGTACAAACAAAGGTGAGAAGATATTAAAGAAAAGAGTCTGGAATCGACATGGGATAGGCCCAGTTTTCAAAGGTTGAGTAGGCTGGCCGTCCACGCCCACAACAGAAATCAAGGACTTACTACAAGGTCTGAAAATTCAGAAAGTATACTATAAGTCACCCCTGTATCAACAAGCAGAGATATTATCTTATCTGAGTCCTCCAGTGAGACTTGGGGCTCTGACAAGGTTACCGGAGTGGGGACTGTGAGCCCCAAGCCCCATCAATCTTCTGCAGCAAGTCCAAGCAGGTCAATCAGCGACGAATCTGGCATTGACAGAGTCTCCTGTGAGGGCAAGGGATTAGAGGATGGCTTACCCTCTCACTGGCGGCTAGGACAGTCACTCTTCCAATGGCCCTTAAGGTTGCAGTATGGACATGGTCCTAGAGGTATGCCAGGGTTGGGGCAATCTTTTGCCCAGTGTCCTTGTTTGCTGCATTTAAACGGTCTGGGCGGGACTTGGGCAGCCACACCTTGTTTTGGATTTTTTGTCCTGGGAGCCCCGAGTGCCACTGCTAAGAGATCAGACTGATATTTAGCAAACTTTAATTTTTGAGCTTGCTTCTCCTCTTTTTGAATCTTATCTCTGTTGTTGAAGACACAGAAAGCTAATTTAATTAGATCCCCTTGTGGAGTTTGAGGGCCATGTTCAACCTTTTGTAATTTTGCACAAGTATCAGGAGCAGACTGAGAAATAAAATAAGAGTTAACAACAATCATCCCTTCATGAGAGTCTGGGTTCACATTAGTAAGCTTAATTAAGGTTTCCCGAAGCTGATTTAAGAATACAGCTGGGTTTTCATTAGCCTCCTGGACCTGTACTAAAAGTTTGTTATAGTTGGTATGTTTGTGAGCAATCTTATTAAGGCCCACAATCAGACACTCAATCATCTTATGTAATTTTGTTGTACCTTGTACATTTGGATAGTTCCAGTTAGGATCTTGTTCTGGCACAGCTACAGGCCCAGGGTCATTGTCAGTGGTGTTTGCTTTATGTCTGCGGTCAGCTTCTTCTTGAGCTGCTTGCCAAAGCTGATTTTGCTTTTGTGAGCTGAGAGTGATATTTAGAATCACATAAACATCCTTAAAATGTAAATCATAACAATTAGTTATAAATTCAAATTGCCTGATATAATTCTGTGGGTCAACAGAGAAGGTACCTAATTTATGGTTAATCTGAGATAAGTCAGAAAGGGAACAAGGCACATGTATATTAACAAGTCCCTTGGGGCCAGATTACTCCTGAAGTGGTAGCAGAGATTGAGGAGAAGATTGCAGAGTAGATGGCCATTGGGCAGCCATCCGTCTGGTAGACGCATGTGAGCAATTATCTGTAGATTGGCCACAAAGTGCCTGCCGGTTACCCTGGAATGAGGAAATACTGGCAGATGGCGTCTCACTGTGTGCCTTGCAGTGATGCAATTTCTGTCTGAGACACAGGGAACAATCATGTGGTCTGCAACAGGGTGGCTGTTGCTGATCACAAGAGGAGCCACAAGGGGGTGGCCATTGACCATGAGATCCATCCCAAGATATTGGCACATGTGACGGAGGGCCACAACATGGTGACCATTCCTGGTGTAAGCTAGAACAGTCACATGGCTTGCCAGAAGGAAACAATGACTTAGACCTAGTACGGTGGGCTGGAGGTGAGAATGCTGTAGGGGATAGAGAATTCTCAGGAGAGTAAGAAGTTGGAGTCTGCAAGGAAGTGCTAACAGAGGTATTGGCACCACTGGGAGAGTTATGGGTCCCAGGAGTTGGAGGGGAAAACAATTGCATAGTAGGAGATAACTGCGACCCAGAGGAATCAGAGCTGCAGGGAGAAGTAGAGGTCGAGGGAGGGGAAGATGATTGCATGGTGGGAGGTAACGGGGAGGAATGATCTTGGGGGTAGGCAGGTGGTGGCCGATAAAAAACCAGGGGTACTTCATCGAGCGGATCATGAGGGCAGGAAGGGAGAGTTTGCAGCACAGCAGAGTTAGCTAAAAGTACCTGGGTGCGAGTACAAGATTTAATGAGAGACGGGCATGTTCTCAGAACAAGGAAAGCTTGTACATAAGGGATCTCTGTTAACTTGTCACTGGCCTGGCAGAAGTCATACAGATTTTTGAGAATATAGGGGTCAAACGTCCCCTCTCTGGGCCAAGCATTGCCGATAAGTGCCAAACCTCCTGGCAGTAAAAAGTTAATCGTTTAGTTTTTATGGTGCTTTTAAACTTAAGAGTACATAGATTGGAAATTAGGCATTGTAAAAGTGTCTTTTCGGAATTAGAAAAAATGTTTCCCATGACTAATTCAGGCAAGAAACAAGCCGTAGTCTGGAGGGCAAGCCGTCACTCGTTTCATGGCACCAAACGGTGGCTAGGGTTCCAAAAACTTGTATATTCCAGCTGTCACTGAGAGATTTAGGAGTGGAGTCCCTGTGGGGTCAGTAACAATTCTGCCCGTGAAAGTGTGAAGCTCTGAAGGACATGAGAGTCTCACAGTGTGGGCAGTCCAGAAAACTCGGCCTTGGGCTATCTGAACCAAAAGGACATGAGAGATTTTTGAGTGTGGACGCAGGTTGCCCAGAAAGGCCCTGCCCTGGGCTGTCTTAAGGATGTGAGAGCGTCACAAACCCACGTGAAGAGGGAAAAATCTTGCCCGGGGCCGAGCCCAGCACGGAGAATTCTCCAGAGTGCTCACCTGAGATTAATCGGGCCGGTGTTGTGTGCAAGTGGTTGGGGACATGTCAAGCAGGTCCCAGGAGAGGAAAAGCAGAGAAGTAATCCAGGATGTAATCCAGTTCATGAATCAGCTGGGGACTCAACTGGGTGTGTCCCAGGAGTCAATCATCTGCCGATCGAGTCATGGCACCAAATGATAAGATTATATCCAAAAGATGAGAAGTGTAAAACAAAAGAGGCCTTTATTCTGAGAACACAAAGTGAGAAAACCAAAACCCCCAACTGCTGGAGTCCGGCTTTCTCTCTGGTGGACACGTGGCATGGCAGGTA